CTTGCGTGGTTGCCGACGGTGGTGTAGGACGGCGTATTGACGGGAGACTTTGACGCGATGCCGAGTGTTTGTGAGCTGCGCTGGAGCTGGGGAGAGAGGCTTGTGACATCGATTGGGGACGCTGGGAGTAGCCAGAATTGGGCGGGGTGACGCCGAGATAGTAGCCCGAGATCGGCACCATTCTGAACAAAAAAACTGTCAACGAGAAGCGTTATGGATAGAATATACGAACTTTTTTTCGCTGTGGCACGCTAAAATCCACTGCGGTTGAACTACAGGGATGCTCAACTGCAAGGCACGTTGATATTCTGCACCTGGAGCTGCTGCAACACCGCCGGCTGGTTGCGCACCTGCGGGTGTGACTGCAGGAGTGGTGCACACGAAATGTGTTGTGTCGATTTGAATTTTGTCGCTCCACTTTGCGCGCATCTCTTTCAAAGCAAGCTTTGCGTTTTCCAGCAACACGCTGTCTGTAACATTTGCGAAGCAAACTGAAATTCCGCTTGTATCTGCGATCGTGTGCGTGCGCACGCGGATGAGGTTCGAGGGATAGGTTCCTGCGGAAGTACGGAGGAGGAGCTGGAAAGTGTATTGGGTATCTACCGAGAGTCCAGAAAGTTTTGTGGAGAAGTTGGTGAGTGCATTAGGAATCGAGGCAAGACGTTGGCTGTTCTTGTATATGTCAAGGGAACGTAGCTTCGCGGAAGCGAGCTTAATGGCGGGCCATTCGAGCGTGACAGAGGTTTGGGTGACATTACGGACCTGAAAATAGTGGTGTGAGCGAGGCGGACTGAAATAAAGTGGGTGCTGCTCACCTCGAGCTGCGGATTCTCAGGCGACTGGCTTCCAAATGTCTCTAAGATATCTTCTTGGAGCGACCAGAACTCATGGTCTCGCTTTCGCTCCTGAGCCACGTTCCGGTGGACCGAGATGTTCACTATAGACCCAGTTGTTGCTCCAGGAGGAAGTAGTACCGATGGAAACTCTATTAGGTGAGCTCGGTCGCCCAGAAGGATCTGCACCGCGTCACTTCATATTTGGGTGACGTACTGAACTTCAAGTTGGACTTACAGCCATGCCCGCATCTGAAGTCAATATTATGAGCCTTATGAACGCGTCAAGTGCCAATCACTTACCGAGCTTTCCGACCGTAAAAGTAAAACTATCCTGCGCTCTCGCCATGGTTGCTTGTCGCGGTGAACAGCGTTGAGAAAGTTGGAGCGCTGAAGGTATGGGTTAACGTGGTCCGTCGTGGCTGTGCAACATTATTCCGATTCCCTTATTGGGTGATAACGTCACAGATTTGGTGAACCTCGCCACAGTGTTGCATATTTTCTTTTGTGCCCGCCAGCTCTCTATCCCTTTCTCCCTGCCTGCCTGGTAATGACCATCGTGATGTCTTCGTCACAACCGGCAGATGTTGCCCTTTTCGCGAGCTTCTCTCTGCATTCATCGGCAATTTGCATCGTTCTTGAATCTTGATCACTTGTGCGGCAGGCTGCGGCGCTGCTATTCGTAATTCCTCTTTCGATCTGTTGTAGCAACCTGGATGGATACTCGGGCAAGCCGATGCGGCAAAGGTATGTCCTCACTGTGTGGTTAGAACAACACATTCTATAATGGCTTATTGATCCATCAAATATATTATAACTACTGTACAAGTGGGATACATCCACGCTTTGAGGCATTGTGTACTTTTAAAATGCTCCCAAGGTCCATGGAAGTAGGTCCTTAGCACTGCAGACAATGACCAGGCGTGTCTTTCAATCTTCTGCGTCACACCTCACTGTGCGTGGGACGCTCGTCGGCATCTTTCGTCCCAGACCGGCTATTTCCTCGATAACGTAGCCTTTATCTTGCCAAAGACAGTGAGCAGGTGTATCATTCAATCCTCTGCATTGCTCCTCATGTGTGGGACGAAGTCTGGGCCAAAGTACGGGCTAAGTCTGGGGACGCCTATCGGCATCTTTCACCCCAAACCGGCCATTTCAGATATCCTCGATAACGTAGCCCTTATCAAGTCTGACTGACTAGGCGCCCGTGCCTGCCACACATGCTTGCGTAAAGATGACAAAAGCTAGGTCAACTGGAGCCGAATCCTTCCACTGGATCCTCTTGCACCCTGACCAGCATTGAGACGTCTCTGCCTTGAGTTCTTCTAGGCATAGCGCCACTATGTCGCATGTTTCTATGTCTTCAGTGACCAAAGAACAGCCGTCGCCTGCTGCCAATCCCAACCCACGCTCTGCATTCAGCGTCGTACGACAGAAAGTGACTACGAAGCATGGCTGGTTTGGTGACTATGATTATCGATGGCTCTGTCTGCCATCTCTTCCTACAGCTAGAAGCAAACAACCGCCATTTTATGGCATCGACGACGAGCTCCCGCTCGTGCTGGCTATAGCAAGCGGGTTGCAGCATGCACTTGCGATGCTTGCAGGTCTCATTGCACCGCCCATCATTTTTGCCAGTGCCTTAATGCTGGACTCTGACACTTCATCATACATGATATCAGCTTCACTCATCGGGTCTGGTACGTTTGGCCATAACGAACTTACACTCACGCAGAACTGATTTAGGAATCAGGCATTCTAAGTTTAGTCCAAATGTCACGCATAAAGTTATGGGGCCGCTATCGTCTTGGTACTGGGCTTTTGTCCGTGGTAGGGACGAGTTTTGCTACGCTCAGTACAGCAAGTGCGGTATGCGCGCCTCGGTTCTGTGCATGTAACATTATTTGATGAGGTGGATAAACACAGATTTTCGACATGATGTACGCCAACGGCACATGTCCTTCGACAACTGCTGCGGATGGCACTGTCACGCGAGGACCATGCCCAGATGCTTATGGGATGCTACTTGGTAAGTCGATTTTGAGTTCCCAGCAATATATAAGTTACTGACGTTATGAAGGCACTTCCCTTATCTGCGCATTTTTGGAGATCGGATTATCATTTCTTCCTCCGCGGATTTTGCAGCGGATTTTTCCTCCCATAGTCACTGGTATGATTACGGCTTAGCTTTGTGCCTTAAGGCTCACTTATCTCAGGCACCTGTATCCTCATGATCGGATCATCTCTCGTTGGGTCCTCTGGCATCCTTGACTGGGGTGGTGGTTCGAATGGGTGTCAAGCGCGCCCGACTAGCGGGATCTATCAGCTATGCCCGACAGTTGTGTCTCCCCATGCATTACCGTATGTCTGACGCATTTGAATCCAGTACATTAATGACGTTCTATGACAGATGGGGCTCTCCTCAGTTCATAGGTCTCGGATTCCTCTCTTTCGTGAGCATAATTCTCACAGAACTCTTCTGCTCTCCGTTCCTCAAGAATGCGAGTATCATCGTCGGGCTTGCAGTAGGATGCATCGTTGCTGGCGCAGCCGGGTACATCGACGGAAGTACCATCACAAGTGCACCTGCAATCACATTCTTATGGTAAAATATCCATTCTTGCATGTTGATACGAAGTCTGACTGTTGGGTAGGGTATATCGATTCAAGATTAATGTGTATCCACCAGCTATTTTACCTATGCTAGCAGTTTACGGTCGGCATATTTCTTTTTCTTGGGACAGGCTGGCTAAATGAAACGTCGACGTCAGTATCAACGACAATGGAAGCAATTGGCGACATAACCGCGTCTTCGGAAGTGTCTCGTATCCCTGTCGAGGGAGAGGATTTCGATTCAAGAATACAAGGCGGTGTTTTGGTTTGTCTTTCCATGGACATGGCTTCTAATGATGTTCTGATTTATGTTGCAGAGCGATGGGATAGGTGGATTTATTTCTGCCTTGTTTACTGTCACTCCTCTATCGGTATTTGCCCAGGTTTGACACAATCTTCTATCATTGCGGTGCCTGGTCTTATCTTGTGCTTGGCGTAGAATAATGGTGTCATTTCTGTCACTCGCTGTGCAAACCGCACCGCAGGAAGATGGTGTTGTGCCTTCCTCATCATCTTCGGTTGCCTCGGAAAGATCTCAGGGTTCTTCCTCGCAAGTATGCCTTATGTCTTGCTGGTCCTTTTTCAGGCACTTACCATCCACAGTACCCAACCCCGTCTTGGGCGGCGTGACGACGTTCCTCTTCGCGAGCGTCGCCGTCTCAGGCCTCCGTGTTCTTTCTTACATCAAGTACACGCGGCGCGACAGATTCATCCTCGCTGCAGCATTGTCGTTCGGTGTTGGGGACCTTCTTGTGCCCACCATCTTTACTTACCTATTTGATGGTGTGAGTAACCCAAATAAAGGTCTCCAAGGGTTGTTTGAGAGCATCACGATTCTGTTAAGCACGCCTTGTCAGTCAACAAATTTCACGCATTGTCACTGTCACATGATACTGATACCATTGTCGACAGTTTTGATATCTGGCATCGTTGCCTTGGTGCTGAACTTGATACTCCCGCAGGATAGATCACAGCAGGACGAAGATGAGGAGGTTGTAAATGTTGCGCAGGATATGGAGATTCAGATACTAGAACAGGAGCGATGACTGGGATGTGATTTGTACAGCGCATGCCAGTTCCAACGTGGATACACTCCCCTCTCATACATTGAGTGAAACAGTTTTATAATGTCATGTATAGGAAAGATTATTCCAGCTTACAAGACATGGAATATCGATGGCTCACCGGGCTGACTGCTGCCTGCGTTGTGTTTCGCACTCTTCCAGGTGTACTAAACATTTCCAATACTCAATCTCTGTCACAACCTTCCTTTTCGCGAGCGTTGCTGTCTCGAGTCTTCGTATTCTTCCTCAAGTACATGCAGCGTGCCAGATTTATCATTGCTGCAGCGCTGTCGTTTGACGTTGGGGACTGAGTCGTGCCGGCCGATTTTTTATATACCTCCCTGTTTAATGGCGAGCGACAAAAAAATGCCTACAAGAGTTGTTTAAGAGCATTATGCTACTCCTTGAGGATGGGTTACAACAGAATAAGGGTGAGAGTACGCCACACAGGATTTGGAAGTTCAGACACTAGATCAAGAATGAAAGTTGTGACCTATTCAGAGATTAAGCAGGTGGAATTTAATCTGATATTTCCAAGCCCGTTGCAAAACTATCGCAAGCGCTCGACGTTATGTAAACACAAACTTGACCTACAAGATGATGACCAACCGTAATTGCTAAATTGCTTTGCTTTGATCTTGATCGAGAGTCCTCACGAAATGTCTGCATGTCGAGAAAGAGATCTAGTACTTCCACCAGCAGTTGAACACGCTCGGTGTGAATCCGTAAGTGAAATGGTATCCAGAAGAGACGATTGCGTGAATGCAAGGTATATAGTAAATCATGCAAAAGAGGGACGAAATCTGTAGTTACATTAGATTCCCTTCACTTCTCCGGTAACAAACAGGACAACCCTGAGGGATTTTGGCCCGTACTACAGAAGCGCTACCGAACAAGATCAGAAAGTGGATGAATGTAGATATGTGCGAACTCACAAAGCAATCTTAGCGCTTACTCCACTGACGAGGACATTTATGCTTTCACTGGGTTCCTCGCTGTAAATGTCCGTCATGCCATCCACGCAGCTGGCATGAACTACATGATGACACAAGAATAGCAAAAGAAGGTCTTGTGGTGATCGTTGTAGGGGTTCCGTACATAGCACGCAAATCGTTCTTGCTAGAATAGGCGTCGAGCTTATCAACGACGCAAGAGTACAGTAACAAATTTTCGCACATTTCATGAAGAATCCGCTATTCTGACCCTTTGAGCGCGTCTTAGCAAGGTCGGAGCTGTCGCCATTGAGAATCGTTTGGCATCCCTCCATAAGGGAGATTTGAAGATGGAAGTCATGAAGAATCTTGATCAATGCTTCCTTGAGGCCAGGAATTTCCAACCCATTCTTGATCCGACGAATCAAACGGATGGGGTCAATTTCAGCTCCGACATTTTCCAGTAGACCGCGAATGAAAGCTACAGGGAGTGAGAGCTATACGAAAATTGGTTTTCATCAGTTACTTACTCGGACGTGTTTCAGAATATTTGAGAAGGTCCTCCCAAAGGTCATCATCACTTTGTTCTTTAGCGAATTCGATCGCCTATATTTGCTGAATGTTACTCTTTGTTGGCCTTCATCTGCCCAATCACGTACCATATGCACGTCGCCTAGGCGCTCAATGATGAGCGTTAACGCCTTCTTGTTGTTGCCCATGCGACCAAGTAAGAACACCATCTCATTTACAAGATCTCTGTTCTTGCACTCATTGTACGCCTGAAGGATGTCAGACAATGATGTGACTAGTTTAAGTAAATGACACACCGCCTCAAGATTATATGAAGTGCTTGCCCGAAGATAGTCAATTAGGCGGTGAGTTGCAAACTCAGCGAACAGCGTAACCTGTAAATGTACATCAATACAACAAGCATTTAAACTCTTATCTACTGGTGAGTTTACCTGAAGATCAGCGAACTCAGACCCAAGCTGAGAGTCCTTTTTAAATAAAGCATCTAGGTAAAGGAAGAGATAGAAGGGGCGATCACGAAGCTGCTGAACCACGCGAACGATCTGTTCAACTGTTCAGACAAGTTAGACAAGAGAACATGATGATCGCACAGGTATAGAATGGATATGATCCACCAGTAGAGCGATTGCTTCGCTGGAAGTCGCTTCACCTTCTGCGCCTTCTTGTTTTCGCCTTTCAAGAAGCTCTTGATCAAACTCGATCAACAAGAGTACTTGATCCTTCACATCGGTGAATAGATTATGCTCCCGGATGAGTTCAAATACATTCTGTCGTCTGAGGCGGAGGAAAAACGGCAGGGCTTTTCCGTATTGTCGATTAGCAGTATAACTGGAGTCAAGATCAGCGAGAGCAAAACAACTCCATGGGATACACGAACAGCTCAGCCAAACATTCCATGAGAATCACAGCGTCTGGTGCAGGTAAGCTTTTTGAGGTTGATGATGATGGCGATCGCTCAAGTTCTGCGTGCACCGCAACAATGACAGTGGATATATCGTAAATTGACTTCGGCCACTCCTTGATAGTGCGCATTAGAGACTATGCAACAGATCAGTCCTAATTGCGTCCAGAACATTCACATGATATACCTGCCTATCGTGCACAAGGAAGTGTGCAAGAATCATCTCATAGACCAGGTGGTCAAGTTGAGGTGCCTCCGTTGGGACATGAGGAATGATTGTCTGCGGAAAAAAAAAATGCAGCTAAAATGCGTGTGTATTGCATCACAGATTCAACATACCTGTAGTTGCTGACTTTGAGCAAAAACAAATATCCAATTTTCCCAGCGTTCGATGTCTGTGCTACAGACCCTCGGGCAAAGACTTGCGGCCTTAGCAAAGTTGCCTGACAAATTTTAAGCTGATATCTGCGGAAACGGTATCAAACGTGGTTCTACCTTCGGCCACCAAATGCCTGATATATCGCTCTCCTATAGCGATAGGACTGATCTCAGACTGATCGCCTTCCGCAGAGCATTCGTTCTCGTCAAGCTTCTCTACTTCTTCAAGAGCTTCGTCGTATCGTTGATGTTCTACGAGCCACAAGACATGGTCTTTCCTATCCCTGGGCCGCACGATGACAATATCTTTGGGACTAATTACGATATGACATCTTCCTGATGTCCCTGGCAAATTCGGCCCGTCGACCTCCGCCATCACATAGTCGTTGCAACTCCACGCTTGATAATTCGTGACACCAAGCGCATCGGCCGATAGCTCTTCACCTGTGTGAGTGATTATCCGTAGTTCAGGGCGCTCAGCTGTTTTACGAGCTTGTCTTGTACGATCTTCCGTCATTTCGTCGCCATATGTATCTGGGGTTTGGTAGGCCAATATCAGAAATGATGGCAGCGGTTCATCCTGCACAGAGGATGTGTCCAGGGATCTTGGCATCGAGAGTGAGTTTGATACAATCCCTGATATCATGCAGTCAAGTTGGAATGCAGCGGTGATCTCAACAATGAAAGGAGGTTGATTAGAACTGCCTGATGCGGCAGCAGTAGGAGAGCGTTCTCGAATGTGCGCGATCTTGATGTGGTCCGCCCATGCTATCAGGAGAGTCGTATCATCTTGCCAATATAAAGTGCACTTGAAAAGGTCCGCACGAGGGCTATCAGCGGGGCGCTCTATGAATGTGATGCGCATCTGAGACTGGGTGTCGTAGATCCTGACTCCCTGCTCATGGACAGTGTCAATATGGTCAGGATATATCAATGCGAACCCACCGAGTCATTCGCCCACGCAATTAAGTGTTCCCGCCATCGTACATGCCACACCGGACCTTCACCAGAGTGGAGGACTGTTTCCTTATGCCCCAGCCAGCCCTTTTCTCTCAGTACCAGTGTCCCGGCCATGCCTCCACACACAAACGATCGTGTACTTTTCTTGGCAAAATTAGGTTCTAGTGCTACAGTGCGGATTGGTCGCTTCATGTCGACCATGTATGACTCATGGGTCGAGAGGGATTGAATAACGGCCTGTCCTAATTGTAAAGTGATTAGAATTTCATGGCCGAGGCAGAACCCATCCCTACCATCGATGGAGGCAGTCGCTACGAAGTCCGCAGTACTGTCAAACTCTGCATCGCTCACCGAAGCTTGATGGGGTTTGTACGACTTGATGCGTTTACCCGTTAAATCGACAATGTGAACAATACCATTGTGAGTTCCAAGTGCCTAGATGATTCGATGTCACTCCTTTCCTACTCACATTAGGGTGAAAGCTTTTACCAGAAGTTTATTTGAGACCGCAAGAGCAGAAGCCGAGTCCTTCTTGAGAAGGTCGTTAACCGCCCCGCCCATACGCTCATATTTCAGAGTTGGTTCATCCTCCTCTTCATCTTCGTAGTCATCTTCGTCTTCCCCTTCGTCTTCTTCCCCTTCCCCTTCCACATCGTCTTCCTCCCCTTCTTCATCATCATCTTTCTCTCGGCTTTCAGACTCATCTTCGCCACTTTCAGACTCCTGCGTTGCATTCTCTGAATCTACGGACTCGGAAGGGTTGGATCCGTTCGGTAAGACGTCGGAAGAAAAAGGATGGGGATCCTGCCAAGGGTCAAGCACTGGACCATCTATAGGAGCTGCGTCAGCCATGAAAAAGCTCCCAGTAGGTTGACAAGCGCAGGGTACAATTGAAATTACCAAGACCAACTACTTCGTACTTCCACCGTACATCTGCAATAGGTAACCAACTGTTTGTACATGTTAGAACCCAAAGGTTGGTGCCAAATACAGTAAGACAACTTCTTGTGCAATGTGCGGCTGCCACTCTGCAGTCCCGTGGAAACGGCATCAGGAAAACCCTCCCCAGGGAAATTCCTCTAAACTATGATAGTTTCCTCTAAACTATGATAGTTTCCTCTAAACTATGATAATTCTCGATAATTGTTGAGTATTATCGAGAATTATTGGCTTTAGAACGATTAGGAAGACTATTTTGTTTAGAAGGACTTTTTTACTGCCTTATTTTTAAAGGATAATTATCACGAATTAGTTGATATTAGACTCCAATATTGTGAATTTCAGAGAGTATATTTCGAATTTTGCACAGTGAATCACGCGTCGGACAGTGTTATAAGCAAAACGGACTAATATTTGATCAGAAGATATACATAATACACAGCCAAAGACTAGGAAAGTTTACTACTGGGTGTGATCAACAAGTCTGTGATTTTTATAGGTATAGATCAGCACGAATAGGACCTAATCCTCTGCCATGCCATCCAGGTCGAGTAGCCCCAGCGCATCTCGATGCTCATCAGCGAAATGTTCATTCCCATTCTGTTTCAAGGTCCTTTGAGTAGCAGAGTCAGTATCCGAGTCAAAACAGCACCATGCACACCAGCGAAACTTACTGTACAGCTTCGTAAATGTCAGCCATCATGCAGTGAAACTTTCCTGGTGCATCCCTCTTCAAGTCCTCGAGGAACCTGACGTGAAACACGTATGTCTCGCTGAATTGATTCCCTGTAAAGTTGAACTTCCCTGGTGAACCAAGCGTCTTCCAGAAAAGGGCCGCATAGACCTTGAAAACGAGTAAATACAGCACAAAGCTCAGTAGAAAGGACCATACCGCTGTCGCCACGAGTGCCAGTAATGGAATGGGTATTTCAGGACGATTGCCCTTATTGTTTGCCAGTTCGGCAAAGCGCTCAGCAAACTTGACACCGATGGACTTCGCACCGCTGAAGACTCCCTCGTATATGAGAAAGATCAGCAGCTCACCCTGGTAGGGTTTTTTCCCTATGGGCGAGGCATCGTGGTTCAACTGTTGAAGAAGAATGTCAGTTAGAGGCTCGAGATGTAGGATCAATGATGATATGTAGAAGGGAATATGACGAAGAGATATTGAGCGGAGAACAGATGACGATTGCACTTACATCAAACCTCAAGGCATATATATATGCATGCTGCTCCATAAGTTTCTTCGCCTTGACCAAGTTGTTGCCAAGACGAAAGTAGCTATCGATGTTTGCACATGCAGCCACTTTCAGGTCACGGCGCAATAACGGAATGCGTGGCTCCACCTCAAGTAATTAAATATAGTTAAAACAAATGAAAAAATTTGAGACATGCAAAGGACTTACTAAACTAGCAAGGTGAGCAGCATACCGCGCATCAGTTTGAAGACGTTCTTTAATAGCGTGGACGCCACGATTCCCGGCCACTGTTAGCAAAGACTGGAGTGAGACTTGGTTTTTGTCGACAAGCTCAGGATAAGCATCGACGAAGATAATGTAGCCTTTGGCATCGATAATCGCATTCCGCACTACTCCCTGAGTCTCATTGTTTTGATCAAGTAATTTGACGTGTCCCTTCTCTGTTCGAATGAGAGAAGCGATGGTCTGAGCCGATCGGGTCCGTGTGGCAGGTTCAACATCGCTGGAGTAAGGTTCGGAGGACTCGCCACATGCAGTAGTAGTTTCATCGACGGACTCTGAAACAGCATTGTCACAATCGCGCCAGGTTGGAATCTAAAGATAGTGTCAAGTTCAGTAGTATACGGCCTGAGTGCAGTTCAATAGTATGTATGTACTCACCTCTGCAGCTTGCTTTGCATCCCGGGCGGACTGGGATTTGCCACGAGATTGAATAACTTGCTTTGACTTCAAGTTGACATTAATGTTGCTGACGAGCGAAGGGACCTTGAGTCCCCATGACAATCATTGTGTGAGTACATCTGACTCGAACGTTGTACAAACTATCACTAACCTCGTCTGAAAGCATCATGGCAGTGGTCTCAGGTTCCTCGCCCTCACTCTCCTCACAGTCAGCATCAGAATCATTACCGTTTGTGATGTCCTCCTCAGGCTGATCATCATCAGAGTCCAATAACGCTGAGACGTCGCGCATGGCGTATGTGCGACAGAGTTTGCTAGGGCGATAATTGGCTGTCACGTGTACACGGTCACATGAGTAAGATTTCCAACTGAGACGTCATGACTAACCTCGAGGCTTGTCAGGTTGCAAGTCCGCACTGCCACCATCAGATTCATCGCCGCTATCCTCCTCCAAGTCGTCTGCAAAGGTACGCTGATGCTCTATCGCGCGTACCATTACTAACGTTAGTACTGATTCCTATGTTTCATATAGACTCTTAGTGACGCACTCAGTTTGGAAGATACTAAATTCTTCACTGAGCTGTCACTGCGAGTGGTTCCAGTCCGAGTCGCGGCAGCCTCTTTTGGCACAGGTGGATCTGTTTTTGGGCGCGGCACTTTACCTGATACAAGGTGAGTATTTGGCTTATATAGTAGAAAAAAACATGGTGACCGGTGCTGATCTTAAGTTTTGCTTTGACTGGTTTGGCAACAGCTGCTGGTGGGCCCTGCGGGGATGCCTCAAGACGAGTGACTTTCCTTGCTGACTTATTAGGCATCCAAACTCAAGTCGGAGGTGAGCATCAGTTTTTCTATGAAGACTCCGGCATACTTACCTGCATTTTCCATAGCCTTTTTCTTTGCATTTCGTGGCTCTATTGAAGCCCAGTGAGTCTTAAAGACGGTGAGCTGTCAGAGTCACTCACCACGAGAATTAAGAGGCGCTGACATTGTATATAGCCTGGGATTGAAAGGATGAGAAGCTAACGACTCGAGGAATGTTGGAAGGAATGTTTAAGGTCGAAAGAGCGAGGAAAAAGAGTTGAGGGCACCGTTAAAATTTTCAAGGGGCGTTGACAGCGGAGGCAGTCTATTTGGTGAGCTCAATTCAAGGGTTCAAATAAGCTGACACCAAGTTGTTACCTCAAGTTTTCGCGTGTAACGTTGGTCGGGTGTTGCTTTGGCACCGTTGGTCGGGTGCTGCTTTGGCACTCCCTCTATACTACTTCTCGAGTCGACTGGCACGACCTCAGGGAGTTTGCGTGCATACCCCCTCTCCTACACTTCTCTCGACTGCGGGCTGAAGAGGTCGCAGTGCAACTGCGCATTCAATGAATTGGAAATATCAACGGAGGCACTTCATTTCAAGGTGCGTTCAATTCAAACCGGGTTCAATTGAGGTGACATTTGCCTAGACCCTAGAAAGTTTTCGCGTGTAACGTTGGTCGGGCGCTGCCTTGGCACTCTCTCTATACTTCTCTCAACTGGCCCAACTTCAGGAAGTTTTCGCGTGTAGCGTTGGTCGGGTGCTGCTTTGGCACACTCTATACTTATACTTCTCTCGACTGCCTGGACAATGACCGCCTCACAGTTACTGTGCATTGCAGTACAACTGCCACGCGTGAGTCAATGTATTTGAAATCTCAACGGAGGCAGTTCATTTCAAGGTGGGTTCACTTCAAACCGGGTTTAATTGAGCTGACATTTGCCTCTGACCCTAGGAAGTTTTCGCGTGTAACGTTGGTCAGGCACTGCTTCTCTATACTTCTCTCAACTGGCCCAACTTCAGGAAGTTTTCGCGTGTAGCGTTGGTCGGGTGCTGCTTTATACTTCTCTCAACTGGCCCAACTTCACTGGCAGGAAGTTTTCGCGTGTAACGTTGGTCGGGCGCTGATTTACCCCCTCTACACAAGTTCTCTCGACATTCTTCCACAACTATGTCCACTCGATGCCCTGCTTGTTCCCGCGACAATTTCACTGTTACTGGTCTGAGTCAACATCTTGCCAAGAGCCGCAACCCACATTGTCGAGCACTGTACCATCAGTCGCGCTCCCAAGTACCTACCAGCGAACCACAATTCGAGCCTGACGAGTCGACTTGGCCTGACTTGGATCTTGATGGAGGATATGAAGAGGACGAGCCTGAGGATGAGTTAGCCCAGTGGGCTCAGGAGCAATCTGGTGGTAGTGAGGATGAGGATGTAGACGATGAAGGGTGGAATTTCGAACCTGAATGGGAGCCTCCCGTCGCAGAGCAAGATGAGCATGATGACATGGATGCCATCGAAGATTTGGCTGATGATGATGAAGCTTTCCGAGAAGATCAATGCCGTGCTCACCAGGATATTCAAGCACGCGCACAAGGGCAGCATGGTTGTGTGGTCGTGCCCTACCCAGATCTGCGTGCTGGCCAACAAATAACTAACTGTCGTGCTGCGAACATGGAGTATGGGGCGCACCTTGCCAATGCGGAGGAGAATTTGTATCACCCTTAGTGATGTGCAAGGCCCGGCTTGAAGCCCTGGGCCGGCCCAAGCTGGGCCCAAATAGGCCGGGCCTAGCCCAGGCCTAAGTCACGGCCTGAGCAGGGCTTAGGCCTGGGCTTGAATTTAGAAAAGCCTAAGCCGGCGGCCCAAGCCGCGGCTTTGGTACATAGAGTATATGACACCTTGTCACGTCAGTGGTCATGCCCCACAAGTATGTGTTTGGCATTTTCTCATTACTGACTCTTACTATGACGCGATTCTAGAACTCGTAAAGGCGCAGCAGGATCTAACAGGTAAGTCTCATCTCAGTATCTTGGTCAGAACTCTTTATTGACGACGTATGTACCTAACAGGTAAGTCTCCTACGTCGCATCAGTACGGCTACTCGAAGTGTAAAGTAAAAGCTAACTCACGTCTCAGTATCTTGGTCAGAACTGAGACGCTCGGGTGGCTGGATGCTGCCTTTTATACGGTAAGTCCTTTTCTAATCTATATTGAAACGAAACATTGATACTTGGAAGATTTCGGCCCCAACGTCACATCTCTCGTCCCTGCGCCTCTTTTCCCTTGCGCTCGGACGATCTATTCACCATGTCGTTCCTCGCCTTCGGTCTCATCGGCAACGTTCGACTCGGAGGGTTTGGACGTCGACAGCGATTCCTCTCAACTTCAACTACATACGCACGTCTGATCTCCTTTCGTCCTGGGATGAGCGACGCTCGACGGAGACTTCAATGGGCGTCATCTCGCGTCACCACATTGCAAGAAGTCGTCGCGTATTCATTATTTGGTATCTTCAGTGTCCATGTCCACCTACAGACATCACCATCCTCGACTGGGTCGGACAACCTTCCGAGTTCAACAGCTGTCTTCCGGCCTATATCACTTCTTACACCACTCCTCCACACACCCTTCCATCCCTGTCCGAACGTTCTCCTCCTTGTCTTCTTCCCTTCACCTGCTCTCGTCCATCGTCCGTATTCGTCTGAGCCACGTCAGCAGTTGCTGACGTGTGCTGGGCGTTTGCGCATGGTGTTCGTGGTGTTGGGAACAGCATGGTGGAGCTCGGACATCGGTTTGGGCCGCGGCTTGCATGGGCCTAAGCCCCGGCTTTGGGCCGGCTTGGGCTCACGGCTCAGGCTTGAAATCTGGTGAGCCTAAGCCCCCCCCAGGCCGAGCCTAAGCCGGGGCTTTGAGCCCAAGCCGGGCCGGAACATCACTAATCACCCTTTTGCATCCAAGATGGATTGGGAGGTTGCAAGATGGGCTAAGCTTCGTGGAGTGAGTTCGACGGCATTGTCAGACCTGCTTGCAATCGAGGGGGTAAGTCAGATGCCATTAATTCTGAAAGTCTATGTAATTAACTTCAATTCTCAGGTCAGTGAACACTTGTCGCTCTCATTCAAGAATGCAAACGAGTTGAATGCCATTGTCAACCATGAGCTTCCAACAGGCCGTCCAAAGTTCAAACGCGAGCAGATCATTGTCGCTGGAGAAGCCTTTGACGTCTATTACCGTGATGTGATCGAATGTGTCAAGTCATTGTATGGTGATCCTGACTTTGCAAATTATCTTGCTTTTGCCCCTGAGCGGCATTATTCTGACGAAGACGAGACAATTCGTCTCTTCCATGATATGCACACTGGCAAATGGTGGTGGAATACGCAGGTACGAAGAACTGATTATGTCCATATGAGATATGATACTTACAATACTTTAGAAAAAACTCGACCAACACAGTCCAGGCGGCACCATTATTCCCATCATTATCTCATCCGACAAAACACAAGTAACGTTGTTTCGCAACAAGTCCGTCTATCCCGTCTATCTCACCATTGGCAACATCCCGAAGGAAATACGACGCAAACCTTCGCGTGGTGCGCATATACTCCTAGCTTATTTGCCATGCACACGGCTTGAGCATATCACCAACAAAGCTTCACGTCGCCGAACTTTGGCAAACCTCTATCACGCATGCTTAAGCCGTGTTCTCGCTCCACTGAAATCTATAGAACTAGAAGGGCTTCGTATGGCTAGTGGGGATGGCGTCCTTCGCCATTGCCACCTATTATTTGCCAGCTTCATTGGTGACTACCCAGAACAACTTCTCGCTGCTGGGATCAAGTTTGGAGAGTGTCCGAAATGTGACATGGACATTGACGAAACAGGTAGCAACACAGCTCCTTTTCACTTACGAAACCTGGGCAAGGTGCTAGATGCCCTCGCTACTCTCGGTGAAGGGAGTCTATCCTTTGTTCGCGCTTGCTCGGAAGCAGGCATCAAGCCTATCGTCCATCCTTTCTGGGAAGACCTCCCGTTCACCAATATATTCCGTGCAATCACGCCAGACGTGTTGCACCAATTATATCAAGGCTTGATAAAGCATCTCTTAGGTTGGTTGTCGGCTGCTTGTGGAGCAGCGGAACTTGATGCTCGTTGTCGTCGTCTTCCTCCCAATCACCATATACATCTGTTCAGCAAGGGCATCACTAGCTTGTCGCGTCTAAGTGGAACTGAACACGCACAAATCTGCCGTTTTCTCCTCGGTATCGTGATTGGGATCCGTCTGCCCAACAATCTAAACGCAGGCCGTCTTCTACGAGCAGTGCGGGGCCTACTTGACTTCCTCTATTTAGCTCAATATCCATGCCATAGCTCCGAGACTCTACAGCTGCTGGATGACACACTCGATCTTTTCCACGACAATAAGGACATTTTCATTGAACTCGGTGTCCGTTCGAATTTCAATCTACCCAAACTTCACGCCACTCGCCACTACTCTGCCATGATTATGATGTTGGGTACGACAGATAATTATAATACTGAGTACACCGAACGACTTCACATTGATTTTGTGAAGGACGCTTACCGTGCTACGAATCACAAAGATGAATTTGTGCAGATGACACGCTGGCTCGAGCGGAAGGAGAAGATTATGCGCCATGACAAGTATGTCAACTGGCGACATGCTGGTGTTGAGGAGACCGAGCCTTACCATTCGCGCCCCCCTGATATGTCTTTTCGTCGGCTTCAAACTATGACGAAGCATCCTAGTGCAAAGGCCGTCAGTATAGACAAGCTCGTCGAGGAGTATGGCGCTACCTATTTTCGTGAAGCACTCGCACGCTATATCACCCAACTCAGCCATGCCAATGATCCTATCCCCCTCCGTAGTCAAACACTGGATGCGTTAGCACGGGACATCCATTTCCCGTTCCGAACTCTTTCCGTTTTTCACAAGATTAAGTGGCTCTCGGTAGATGCTCGTGGTCACGGCGATGCAACAGCCACGTTGGACTCAGTGCATGCGAGACCACAACGGAGTTCAGATTCTGGTCTGCGGCCTCGCCGTTCGGATACGGCTCTGGTGAATATTGGTGGGAATCCAGATGTTGTTAATGGAGGTATAGAAGGTACGTTTAGCCACCACTATTTGCTAAGGATAGAGTTACTCACAGTTGTCTGAATCTAGGAGTCCGTGTCGGGCAAGTACGAGTCGTTTTCTTGTTACCTTCAAAAATGTTGCCACTCCTGTTTCCGCCAACAGTTGAGGTTCCCAACCACTTGGCTTATATCGAGTGGTTCACGCCATTTCCTTCGGCTCCGGATCGACACCACGGACTTTACAAGCTCTCGCGAGCCTTGCATGGTGGTGAAAAAAATAGCAAGTATCGTGCCGTTGGCAAATATTGTACGTAGCATCCATCTTATACCGAATTTTCACATACTTCAGTCAATTTCCCATGTAGAACCAGTGCCCCGGATGTGCCAAAACCCTGTAGAATCATGGCCAGCCAGTCCCCGGCCGGTCTATGTAGAATACATGCTGGCCGGCCTTGTATAGTAGTAGTCCACATGTATAATACACTACCATACTATTGTAAAAGCATGACCAGCCAGTAGATGTAAGACAACTGCCGGCTGTAGGTATACCAATATCAAGGCTTGCTGGTGTATTAGGATGCTGACTGTTTCACATCTATATTTGTAACTGGCCAGCCTTTCTTCTACATAGGCAGACGTGGGGTGGCCCAATATGTGGGATTAAGATTATACTGGCCAACCATATCTCTACCTCAGTAGAAACCAGGCTGGCCAGTATGTAGGTCTTAATCTAGCAAACCGGCCGCCCTGCATCTACCTATGTATGGGTAAGGCTAGCCAGTTTGTATGTTTTGAACTAGCATACTGGCCGTCCTGCATTTACTTATGTAGGGGCCAGGCTGGCCTGTTTGCAGGTATTAAACTAGCATACCGGTCGTCCTGCATTTACCTATGTAGGAGCCAGGCTGGCCTGTTTGCAGGTATTAAACTAGCATACCGGCCGTCCTGCATTTACCTATGTAGGAGCCAGGCTGGCCTGTTTGCAGGTATTAAACTAGCATACCGGCCGTCCTGCATTTACCTATGTAGGAGTCAGGCTGGCCAATATATATGTACATAGAGCGAGGAAAGCCAGTTTATACTCAAGTCATAACTTATCACCAGGCAGTGCGAGAGTCTAGACAAGCATATGTAATTACTGTACAAGATTGACTAGCAATGAAGACAATGGAGGATACAAGATCATATCTTCTGGGATCTCTTAGAGGGTTGCCTCGCCCTACCTGATCTACGAACCACAGGCTCAGTCCTAGGCTTCTTGGACTTACTTGATGAAGCATGGTTAATTTTTCTCTTCCTCCCTTTCTGCACCACCTCTTCAACCTCCTGCTCCTGCTGTTCTTCTCCCCCAACTACATTCTCCTCTGACTCAACATCCTTCTCCTCAACCTCATGCCTTTCCTTCTCTACCACCATCCTCATCTCCTCATCCTCAACCTCGTCACTGAGTCCCTCTTTGTTCAGCCTCTCAATCTGACCAACAACTGAGAATAAGACTTCCCGGACAGCCTCATCCAGAGCGACCAAGAACTGTAGATCAATAGCAGAATGAGGTAGGTAGAAAGGGGTATTGGGATCAGCCTCGTCTTCCTCATACTCTATCACACGCTTAGACTCCCTATAGAGGAGCCCAATTCCTAGTATTACTGGCATTGCCGATGATGGCCCTGAGATTGGACAGGTCTGTAGCTTGTTTAAGCTGGCCATCAATGTCACATATGAGGTGTGAATGTCCTCGGAAAGATAATTTTCGCTCCAAGACCAGTCAGCCCAGGTAGGCAAATCTTGGTGTCGCTCTGAAATTGGCTGTTGGACATATAAGCCATAAAATTGAAAACAGCACCAAGTGACACTAACATTCTGTTTGGCTAATATTGCCAGGTCCCTAGTGGTGTCCACAAGCTCCAAGTAGTTTTCATTCTTGCTAAGGGTTTCTAAAAATGTGTATCGGTCATTGATGGCAACATCATCTGGTGTTGTCTCATGAGCGGCCGGCTGTGTTGTACGTTCTGTGAAATGAGAGGCAAATGGAGCCGGCCGGCCTTGATCTTCTTCATCTAAGTCTAGGGTGCTCACTACTTTCGTCTTGGACTTCCCAGTGACCCGAATATCAGCATCCTTGGCCTTAATAAAGACAACTAGCTTCTGATTTGTAGCAGAACGTCGTTCCCAATGCATCCATAGACGATTTACCTCCTCTGTCTTCATATGAGAAGGGTCTTTGACCACAAATCCTGTGGGAACTGAACCAGGTTCCAAATAATTGGACGGGCTGGCAGTTATCACGCCCCAAGGTACAGGTCTAGAGCCACCTGTGCAGACTTCTACAAACCATTGAGTCAATCAAATGTCATGCACATATTGAAGATGTTAGATCTTACTATATGAAGTATGAAAGATACTTCTAATCAATTCGTGTTGGCCCTTGAGGCCAATACCATCACGAAGAGGAAGTTTTGCATACCCCTCATCATCTACTATGATTTCAGGTAAGACAGGTCCATCCTCACAGTCTGAAGCCGCATGGTCTGAATCCTCTGAAGGGTCTATCAATTTAATAGTCAGTGAGCATGATATTTAAAATCAAATGAAACACGTACAAAATTCAGTCTTAGACCATTCTCCAAAGGATTCAAATCCATTTGCAGCCCACTCCTTGATACCACTCGAGCTCACAGAAAATTTTTTCTTGGCATTCTGAGGCATAGTTTCGTGTCTATAGTAGTTTAGTTAGTCTTGAGATTTCCATGTTGATTTGATGACTTACAGACTGACGGACAATGTCTGACTAGCTTTTTTCTTATGACTAACAAGCATTACTATGCGACAACCCATGGTGCGCCGAATTTGCTCTGCAAAATCTTCCAGAGTTTTCTTGAGGTTATTCTTACGATATCTCAAGCCAAAGTGTTAGACTGGAATAACTGTAGATTTGAAGTAAAACTTACATTGCCTGAGTTTCTTCTGGCGCCCCCTCCTCATTCCATTTCTTCATGGCAAACTTGACCTCCTGCTGTTGTGAAGGTGTCATGTTGTTGAACCACTCCCTGGCATTCCCAGTGCGGTACTTGATTGAATACTCCAAGCCTTTACTCTGTTGTTGGGCCTTGTCATATGAGTCGATCTCCTGCTTAAATAATTTCTGTGCTACATCCCACTCAGACAGGGGTTTCTTATAGAAAGATGGTTCTCTTGGGCGACTCGCTGCCTCACGTTCGTCTGCCTCTTCCTTGTCTTTGAGACTTTTGGCATAGTATTCTTTTATTGCCTGTAGGTAACATTTATGTATATCATCAGACAACTAAATACATGTACAGTATAAGAATTTTGTGACCTTTTTCAAGGAAGTAGGCAAGGCAATGGGTTCCTCTTGCTCGTCTTGAGCAGCTAGTATGGCCCTCCGAATCTTCCTCACCACAGGCTTTCCAACAGATGAGGAACCTGCAGCAAAAATGGCCTTAGAGTGAAGGTCGAGAATTGGCTTAAAGGCAATAGACCAGTCGGTAGACATCGTAATTGATTCAAGATAAAAATTGCAGGTAGGCTGGTACAGGCGGTAGGAGGGTGGCTAGCCGAAATTAATTTGAACACCCATGTTTATCAACAATAACGTGTGACTTTTCATAAGTCACACGTTATTGTTGATAAACATGGGTGTTCAAATTAATTTCGGCTAGCCACCCTCCTACCGCCTGTACCAGCCTACCTGCAATTTTTATCTTGAATCAATTATCAAATTGGATATATTGAGATGGTCAAATTCACATCAAGTAACAAGATTAAAGGCACATCATACTTCCATTGAGTGGAGTTAGACAGTGTAGATAATAGACAAATTCACATCAGGTAAAAAGATCCAAAACACGTTATACTTCCATTGAGCGGTGAGGGTATCTAATCAAGTAAGATGAAGAAAAATGAAACATGAAGGGATGTATGAAAAAGCTAAGACAAAATAATTGTATCCTAATCCTCATCCTCATCAGGGACACTAGGCATGGGCCTCAAGACAACCGAAATCCAGCAGGAGCCAGGTCTTTTGCCTGGCAAAAGGATCCTGGAATGAGGTGGTTGTGAGAATACATACTTTTTCCTACATTGGCCATTCTTGCATTCAAAGATGTAATCTTTGTGCATGTTGACAGAACACCAGGCGTTACTCCACCCACACTGTGGGCACTGGACCGGCAGGTACTGACCCCAGGGGCGAAGTTGGGAATGCATCCAGGCGAACTTGGTAACGGCCAACGAACCTGAGTTGTCAGGCATCAGCAAGAACACGTCAGTGTGGCGCCCAAGTTTGTAGGACTGGCCCAACATGTCAGGGAAGACGATGTGAATGGGCAAACACTCGATGATGACCAGCTCCGCGAATGCGAGCAAAAGGTGGGTGGCGAAACTCGGCTGAAAACGAACAGCATTAAAGCCAATAGTGGCTGTGATGCGATGACTGTTAGGGTTAGTTAGTATTTGCAAAGATAAGATCAAATGGACTTACTCTATGACCGCCTGTTGCAAGCCTGAAAAGGAAGTGACGTTGTTGATGAGCGCGCCACACGAAAACAGCCATAAGTATGATTCCGCGGCACCATGAATCAGGGGATGCCAAGGTGAAAGCAGAACATCGAGAACCTTTGGTGTCAAATGAGCAAATACAATGTTAGTCAAAAAAATGCCACTTACAGAGTGAACGCGTGCCGAAACGTATGACTTCTTGTTGCCCTCGTACCCAATAAATGGATCTCCATGCTCGTTGTCGGTGTGGTTAGTGATGGCGACGACGACACGAGCCCAGTTGGAGCTCATCAGCGACTGGATGATGGCAGTCGCCTGCAACCGGTACTCGTCGATCTTTGAGGCATTGCCGATGTCGAACACGATGGACCGAAATTCAAACCCTCCGCTGGGGAAGTATGGCCGAAGGAATTCGGAGGCCAGTTCGAAACAGCCGCCGGTGACGTCGTGGTCGACGAGGACGAGATGGAGCATGAGCGTGGGTGCCGAAGACAGTTGGGAATGGAGTGAAACCTCCAACGTAGCACGAATTTGGAGGAATGAAGGAAGGAGCGGTTGCCCCTTCCTGTAAAAACTCTATAAAATGAAGTGAATGTTAGTTAGCATGAAATAAACGAAAAAACTTACAAAATAGGGCGACTGAGATGCGCGCCCGTGTCGTTCCATGCCAACATGGCAAGATATGCAGACGAACGTGACGTCATCGGCCTGCACCGCGTGTGCACTGGCAGGCGGGATGTTCATGCAGTTTGAACACATCACCCGCGGACAGGTGCTGCAGAGGAAGAGGCAATCTTCCCCTACAGAACCGTCTCTGCAGATGAGACAAAACTGCAAATAAAGACGCGTGTTAATGCAAATAGTAGGTAACTAATCACTTACCTCGTTGTGTTCAGACGGCTCTCTCACATTCAGCTCACCCGGCGCAGTGACCGCTCCAGTAGATGCCGGCAACGACAAGGCAATTCGTGGCGCGGTGCCACCGGTGGACTTCTTGCAGGTTTGTTTAGACTTCACCATGGTGAAGAGAGACTATTATAGATATATTCAAATTAGTAGATGACACGGCAAATAGCACTTACAGTTATGTAGTTCAAACAGATGCAAAGAGAGGAGAGCGCCGGCTGAATGTACTTAGAAAGAAATGAACAAGTTTGAACGTTGGTTGATTGTGACAAACAGATCCAAATAGTCACGTGATTATCAACAATGAACTCAACAGCGTCATAATATTGGCTAATCCACAATTCAACGCGTCGCGTGTCAAAAATCCACTCAACACGTGCCGGCGCGCCGGCACGTGTTGAATTTGTGGATTTTTGACACGCGACGCGTTGAATTGTGGATTAGCCAATATTATGACGCTGTTGAGTTCATTGTTGATAATCACGTGACTATTTACAAACAATAACAAACTGACACGTGAATATGAACAACAACAATCAGTTCTCACGGTTCAATCTCTTCTTTCGTCTTACCTTCATCATTCTCCTTCATCCTTTATTTCTGCCAGTGCCGTTACTTCAGGGCGACTTCCGGTGTACTCCTTTGGGTTCTTGCAGACTGCAGCTGCAAGAATTCAAAGGTACTACCCTACAGTCGCCCTTCAAACATAGTAAGTTCAACTTTGGTGGTGCGCCTACTTACTAACTGTTTTCATTTACATATACTCTCTTTCCCTTGAGGTTTCTCAAGGTAAGTACTTAATTGCTCACACCCGCTTGCTAATGTCTGTTGTACTTAGGATTTTGGAGACTTTGGATGGCGCAGTGACAGCCACTCCTCCCTTTGAGCGCCCTCCTGGCAGTTCCCTAACGTAAGTCCTTCTTTTCCCGCGTCTGCTTGCTAATGTTTGTTCTATTTAGGATTATACTTGCGAATTTCGGGACTTTGGATGGCAGTTAGAGCCACTCCTCCCTTTGAGCGCCCTCCAGTTCCCAACGTAAGTCCTTCCTCTCTCATGTCCGTTTGCTAACGTTTGTTCTATTTAGTATTATACTTACGAATTTCAGGACTTTGGATGGCGCAGTTAGAGCCACTCCTCCCTTTGAGCGCCTTCCAGTTCCTTAAACGTAAGTCCTTCTTCTCTCGCGTCCGTTTGCTAATGTCTGTTCTATTTAGTATTCTGCTTATTGGAACTGGGGGTTGCGCAGTGCATGCCACTTGTCAGTGGCTCCTGCTTCTTGAAATTGGCGGTAGCGCAGTGCATGCCACTTGTTAGTGGCTCCTGCTTATTGGGACTGGGGCTCAGCGCAGTGCATGCCACTTGTCAGTGGCTCCTGCTTCTTGGAATTGGCGGTAGCGCAGTGCATGCCACTTGTTAGTGGCTCCTGCTTATTGGGACTGGGGCTCAGCGCAGTGCATGCCACTTGTCAGTGGCTCCTGCTTCTTGGAATTGGCGGTATCGCAGTGCATGCCACTTGTTAGTGGCTCCTGCTTATTGGGACTGGGGCTCAGCGCAGTGCATGCCACTTGTCAGTGGCTCCTGCTTCTTGGAATTGGCGGTATCGAAGTGCATGCCACTTGTCAGTGGCTCCTGCTCCGACTTTTTAATAGCCTGCTCCAACTTTTTAATGGTGGTAAGCGCTCAATTCCTGATGACCTTAACTGATCTGTTTTGTTCTCTAGACTGCTGAACCTGCCGGTACTTTTGTGTGACAAGTGCTCTCTAGTTAAGTGTTAATCTTGTCTTAAATTTCGGTCTAACATTTCTACAGGACAAATTTGTATTGTATTATATATATATTTGCTACATACATTTTCACCTGGAGTGTTGAGGCTTTGGTGAGGAGGGCCCCCTCATTGAAGTCTCGCCTCCCCTTTTGTATTTGTTACTTTATTTGTTTGCTTACTTGTAGTAAAATTTATTGTCACTCGTACTTTGTATTTGAAAATGTATGTTGATGGATGCACTTTATTTGCTGCCGGCTGAAAAGGTCACGTGACCGTGTGTATATTAGCAAAGAGCCTTATTAAGAAAGCAAGCGCAAAAGCACAGTAGTGTATAATAATCAAACGCTGCACAGACCAAAGCAACTATTATCTACTACATGTCTTAGATAGATAATGTGTTATGTAGATCTCAATTCTGCCTTGATGCGGCTCACCATTGACATGCTGAAGGACGCTATCATTGATTATTGTCTGCCAGTCAAAATATACTATTGGCATAGGCAGATGGTGGCAGAACACTAGGACAAGTAGCCATGACGCCATATGATACAAACTTCCCTTCCCGGTCAGAAGGTTGATTCTTCTTTGAAATTGCCTTCTGACCACAGAGGGGAGTCATCATATGGCGTCATTGTCACCATCTGCCTGGGCTGCTAGCATATTTTGGACTGACGGACATTCTCAATACCCTACAGGCCGCTTAGAGGCTAGCCCGCCCTCAAAACTGTTCGTGTTAAGAGTTCTGCCTCAGAGGTAATACTTAGTTAGCTACACCTATACTGTAGGGTATTGAGAATGTTTTCTTCGGTTAACAAAGAAAACATTTTCAATACCCTACAGTATAGGTGTAGCTAACTAAGTATTACCTCTAAGGCAAAACTCTTAACACGAACAGTTTTGAGGGCGGGCTAGCCAGTATATGCCTCAGAGGTATCTCCAAACTGTTCGTGTTAAGAGTTCTGCCTCAGAGGTAATACTTCGTTAGCTACACCTATACTGTAGGGTATTGAAAATGTTTTCTTTGTTAACCGAAGAAAACATTCTCAATACCCTGCAGTATAGGTGTAGCCAACTTACCTCTGAGGCAGAACTCTTAACACGAACAGTTTTGAGGGCGGGCTAGCCTCTAAGTGGCCTGCAGGGTTTCTCAATACCCTGCAGTATAGGTGTAGCTAACTTACCTCTGAGGCATATACTGTAGGGTATTGAAGATGTTTTCTTTGTTAACCGAAGAAAACATTCTCAATACCCTACAGGCCACTTAGAGGCTAGCCCGCCCTCAAAACTGTTCGTGTTAAGAGTTCTGCCTCAGAGGTAAGTTGGCTACACCTATACTGCAGGGTATTGAGAATGTTTTCTTCGGTTAACAAAGAAAACATTTTCAATACCCTACAGTATAGGTGTAGCTAACGAAGTATTACCTCTGAGGCAGAACTCTTAACACGAACAGTTTTGAGGGCGGGCTAGCCAGTATATGCCTCAGAGGTAACCTCAGAGGTATCTCCCCTCCATGGTCAGAAGGGAAGAGTCAGCCTTCTGATGGTGCAGGGCAGTTTGTATTATATGGCATCATTGCTACTTGTCCTGGTGTCCTCCGGATGCCAATTTACTATTATACACTACTGTTTTTGTGATTGCATTCTTAATAAGTGAGTCCTTGCTGTCTCTCAAGGTGTTGAACTCCAGCTGGAAGTGTCTCCTGTTATTTGAGACAGGGATCCCACAGTGTAGTCCCAGATTCAGAATATCATTCATTCTTCTGTGGTAGTCTGCCAATATTAGTCTTCACTCTTCCAGCATCTGAGCGAGTTATTACAGTACTAATTATGTCACAATCTGGGCAAGACTTCATTTAATCAGTCTTCCATCAGTAGATTCCATTCATATATCCAAATTTGATCGCGGGACAATTTTTTCGGAATCATTTCATATAAGTTAAATTGAGTCTTGATCCGAACGAGCTGGTTGAAAATTTTCCTTGCTCACCATGGACCAACAAATGAGTCAATCAATCAAGCTGAGAGCAGCTCTGACCACAAGGATCAAGGAAATTATGGGAAAATCATCAGCAACAGGGATCTTCAGAGGGGGGATATTGCAAACTCACCTTCTACACAAAGCAAGGTGAGAGGTTATATTTAGGGCCTTATTTGATCCGCTCTATTAAATGGTCTCACTTAAGATTAAGAATTGGACATGAGCTAGACAGTTGCTTAGCAACACGTGATGTCAACTTCCATGCTTCTGCGTCAATCTCAGAATATGAGATCAATCGAGCTGCACTGACAGTTGCCCATGCAATGGTAAATCCTTGTGAGTTGTTTCACTCTGCAAGATATCACCTGGTTTTAAATTCACATCATTTGCAGATTATGTGGATTGGGATGTTGACAGATTTGCCGAAATGGCCAAAGTCTCTACACCTAAATCTGATGGTCCCCTCGCTAATACCAATCAGCTACCAAAGTACTTTTCTGCAGCTATGATCGGTAAAATTTCAGTACCAGCTACTATTGTGGACAGGCAAGGTAAAATTTTAACAATTTACTTGCCAAATATTCTGTCTTCTTCTCGGGTTGTATGTTCATTCTTCCTTGGGAATTCCCCTCATCAATTGATCAATTAAATTAGGAATATGTGAACTCAGCCACTAAGGGTTTACGGACTTTACTTCTTGAAACAATTACGTCCTCCACCCAACAGTCTTGGCGATCTCAAGGCTTTGTTGTCCCAGAGGGGGGTGGAGAATTTGGAGCAGGCAGAGTCACAGTATCACCAGCATATTTTATGCAAAGACACGAGGTATAGGCCAAATTTAGTGGTTGTTTAGCTACTTTTGACTTTGTTTGATTTCATTTGCAGAGACTGGAAGACCCAATGGTTACCTCGGCTTCCTATAAGTCTGTGGAAGTCCAAGAGTGGCTAGCTGCTTTATCAGCTACTGAATCTTTCTGGAATGCCATTACCGCTGTATCGGCTCCAGATCTATTCGAAGCAGGCACCTTGGCAATCACTCGTATTATTGAGGAACTTCAAGGTTCTGATAGAACATCACCACCCATCTGTGATTGGCCCTCGATCTTCTCAGGATTGGAAATAATTGCAAATCGTACAACTTTATCACACAGAGATTCTGGTGGCGCACCTTCTCTTTTTGATCTTCTGATTAGTTTAGGCAGTGGCCATGAGGCTAAGTTGACATTAGCAGATGTTGGGGCCGAACTGGATTATTACCCTGGGACAATGGTCTTCATTTCCGGGAAGGTTTTACAACATTCTATTGGTCCATGGGGTCCGGGAGAAAGGCTCGTTATTGCCCATTTTATGAGGGATAAAATCCACTCTAGATGCGGGGTATCCAGACCCCCCTTTCCAACACAGGCCTATTTTTTGCAGATGGTGGGGCAGCAGGATAGTTATTTGTTGTGACAAGTAGATGATAAGAAAGGAGTGGTTCTTGGAGGAGGAGGGGTGGAATGGGACAAATCAAGTGTTTGACAGTATACCTACTAGATTAGTTGATGTGATCTAGTGATTCCTATGAATGGTTTCAACTATCAAAAATAGAATGTTGATAATATCAATTTTTCCCCCCACACGTAACCCTATGTCTCCCAAGAAAAAAACTCGACTCAAGGCAGCTACATTTTCCTTCCAAGGAAGAGGTCGTTTGTCTAAAGGCAAGGACCTTGATGTTGCCTATGTGTCTCATAAACAAGTCATTGGAAAGAGAAGGAAGCCAACCTGGGTGGAATCATACGCTGATAGCCTTTATGACACTGCCCCAACACCATCTCCATCCTCCAGCCCTCGTAAACGTATTAGAGAAGACACTCAAGGGTTGCAAAACAGTCATGAAGATTTTGATAGACAAACCCTTGGTGACTTTGTTTCCTATGTAGAGAACTCACAAAGAAAAACCAAGGCAAGCATAGTGATTCAGTGTCTTTTAATGATGTACTAAATAGAGATTATTACGACCAGACACAAAATGACTTCATCCAAGAATATCTGCCTTTCCGAGACTTGTACTTGGATATTCTCCTTGACTTGGAGAAACCCTCCGATGTATCCCAGTGCCAGTCTTGTCAGATTGGTGAAGGGAAATTCCGCTGTTTGACTTGCAGTGGAGATCAGACATTCTGTCGTTCTTGCATTGTCAATGCTCACCAGTTTTTGCCCTTCCACAAGGTTCAAGAGTGGACTGGGAAATGCTTCAACGACACATCACTTGAAGAATTGGGTTTTATCTGGTATATGGGCCATGGGGGACAACCATGTCCATTTTCTGACGACATGCATACATGGGAGAATATTCCGATGGACGCAGAGGCCGATTTTTCACCAATGGAGACAGTTCATGGTTCAACTATACCAACCAAGTTGACCATTGTACATTCCACTGGAGTGTTTTTGCACAACGTTGTCTGGTGCAGCTGTCCTGGGGTCGATTGTCAGCAGCATTTGCAATTGCTGAAAGCTAAATTATTTCCAGCCAGTACCACTCGACCACAGACTGCCTTTACTTTTGATGTCCTCAATCATTTTCTAATTGATGCACTGGAGTGCAAGACTTCAGCATCCAGCTTCTTTGAAAAAATCCGTCGAATGACCAATAACTGTTTCCCAGATACTGTTCCTGTAAGTCTTATAAGTCTTCTTGGTGAAAGTTAAACTAACAGTACCAATTTGTTTTTCTAGAATCGATATCGAGAACTTATGAGAGTGTCTCGACTGTGGAGAGACTTGATGAGTCGAAAATGGTTTGGCTTTGCCCATAATGATGAGCAGAAACCGGACAAGGGTGATCTGGCTTGGTTTTGCCCTGCTTGTCCACAGCCTGGGATTAACCTACCTCCTGACTGGCAAGCCAGATATGAAAGGCAAGTCATTTATCCATCTCATTCTAAGGAGAGGCGACTCAATTTCTCTACCACACTTGAGAATATCATACTCACTGGCTAGCCCTACACTGCATAGTGTAC